ACCATGTCGACCAGGATGGTCTCGAACTCTCGACCTCGTGATCCACCCGCCTCGGCCTCCCAAAGTGCTGGGATTACAGGCTTGAGCCACCGCGCCCGGCCATATTTTGACTTTGATAGAAACTTCATTTAGATTGAGTACCCCCTGTCTGAAATGTTTGGGACTAGAAGTACATTAGATTTCATATATTTTTGGATTTTTTAACATTTGCATGTACTTATTGAGGTATCTTGGGGATAGGACCATGATCTAAACATAAAATTTATTTGTGTTTTATATATACCTTATACACTATAGCCTGATGATAATTTCATATGGTATTTTTAATAATTTTGTGCATGAAATAAAGTTTTGACAGCGTTTTGACTGTGACCCATCACTTGAGGTCATGGGCGGGATTTTCCAAATGTGACATTCAAAACATTCCAGATTTCAGATCTTCAGATTAGGGATGCTCAACCCATAGCAGATTAAGGATTAAAACTGTGCTGGATTAAAGCCGCGATGTTTCTGAATCCTCATTTGTTTTATATTTACAGTAGTTTTATTTAGTAGATTTGGAGAGTGAATGCTTAAAGTATCTACTTTAAAAAAAAAAAAAAAAAGAACAGTTTTTTTCTTATTATAAAATCAGAACCAGTTGCCAAAAAGCTATAATGCACCCAATTTTATAACAAATTAAACTCTACATTTTAGAACAAAAGTTATGAATGCTGTAGAAGTTACTGAAAAAAAGATGGCTTGGTGACTGAGGTAATAATAATAAAACTGCTATTGATATACATGATATCTCAGCCTCTTAATTGACCTTGTATATTTGCTATTATTACTATTTTTAATATCATTACATTTTAATTTTTTTTTTTTGAGACGGAGTTTCGCTCTTGTTACCCAGGCTGGAGTGCAATGGCGCGATCTCGGCTCACCGCAACCTCCGCCTCCTGGGTTCAGGCAATTCTCCTGCCTCAGCCTCCTGAGTAGCTGGGATTACAGGCACGCGCCACCATGCCCAGCTAATTTTTTGTATTTTTAGTAGAGACGGGGTTTCACCATGTTGACCAGGATGGTCTCGATCTCTTGACCTCGTGATCCACCCGCCTCGGCCTCCCAAAGTGCTGGGATTACAGGCTTGAGCCACCGCGCCCGGCCTACATTTTAATATTTTTAAATTAAGATTCAGAGATAATTGGGATTGAGAGCCAACTCTGAGTCTTGTGGTATTTGTTGTTGTTGTTGTTGCTGCTGCTGTTGTTTTGAGATAGAGTCTTGCTCTGTTACCCAGGCTGTAGTGTAGTTGAGTGATCATAGCTCACTGCAACCTCCGCCTTCTGGGTTCAAGCAATTCTCCTGCCTCAGCCTCCCAAGTAGCTGGGATTACAGGTGTGTGCCACCACGCCCGGATAATTTTTGTATTTTTAGTAGAGAGGGGGTTTCACCTTGTTGGCCAGGCTGGTCTCAAATTTCTGACCTCAGGCAATCCACCCACCTTGGCCTCTCAAAGTGCCAGGGTTAGAGGTGTAAGCCACTGAGCCCAGCCCTGGTATTCTTTTTGATAGAAAGTGCTAACTTTAGAGAAGTGAGGCTGAGTGCAATGACTCGCCTGAAATCCCAGCAGTTTGGGAGGTCAAGGCAGGAGGATCGCTTGAGGCCAGCAGTTTGAGACCGGCCTGGGCAACATAGGGAGACCCCTTCTCTACAGAAAAGAAAAAAGAAAAATAGCTGGGCATGGTGGCACACACCTTTAGTCCCAGCTACTGAAGCCTGAAGCCAGAGGATCCCTTGAGCCCTGGAGGTTGAGGCTGTATTTAGCTGTAATTATGCCACTGCACTCCAGCCTGGGCCACAGAGCAAGATCCCATTGAGAGAGAGAAAAAAAAAAAGAGAGAGAGAGAGAGAAAGAATACTTAGTATATGTTCCACAAAGAATGTAGGACTTTCTGGGCACTAAAGAATGGAATAGCAGCATGGAAAGTAGTCCAACAAGGGGACAGACCAAAGGCAGAGAAGCAGGAGCGGGCTTAGCAGTCCATCAGAGAGTGCAGAGACTTGTCTGATGGAGGACCAAGGCTGCATGGTGAGAATTCATGGGAACCGACTGTAGTATGAGACCAGGTTGTGGAGGGTCTGAAAAGCTGGGCAGAAGGATCTAGTTTAGTTTCCACAAAGGACATTCAAAGGTGTTTTGAGCATTGGAGCTCTGTAGGTAACATTTAGGAAAACCTGTCTGGCAAGGATATGTGGGAAGAGGGAGTGAAGGGAGAACTTGGAGTGCCCCAGAAAGCCAACGAGAACGGTGCACGAGCTTTGGGCTGGAAAGTTAGAATCAAGGTGAGGCTGGAGAAGAAGGGATAGACACCAGAGACATTTCAAAGAAAACAAAAGAACTGAACTTGCAGTGCATGACTAGGTAAGTGTTGAAGGAGGCAAATAAAGGTAACTGACATTTTGAGTTTGAGTGGCTAGGGAAAGGGTGGTTTTTCTACTTGCTAAGATTAAACGGTTGAGAAGACAAGTAGATTGGAAAGGGTAGGGTAGGGGTTTAAGTGAGGAGGCTGATGCTGAGCCCACCTTTCAAGTAACAGTGAGTTCCTAGAACTCAGTTGGAAGGCCGGGTGGGAGAGCCAAAGCCAGACTGAGGATAAAAGGTGTCCACGTCCAGGTGCCAGCGTGATCCGGAACTGAGGAGTATGAGGAACTATTGGTGCAAATAGGATGAGGCGTCAGAAGTGAAGCGATCACCAGAATTACGGAATATACAGGATTCCAGGTGGATCTGAGCAGACTCTGTCAGTCTAGTATTTTCCACAGGGAGTGCTTTCTGACCACTTTAGGATTTTTGGTTGGTTGGTTCGTTGGTTGGTTGAAGACAGGGTCTTGCTCTGCTACCCCCTTTAGGATTTTTGTTTGTTTTGTTTTGTTTCTTTGAGACAAGGTCTCACTCTGTCACCCAGGCTGGAGTGAAGTCACGGCTCACTGCAGCCTTGACCTTCTGGGCTCAAGCAATCCTCCTGCCTCAGCCTCTCGAGTAGCTGGGACTACAGGCATGTGCCACTGTAGTTGACTGAGTTTTGTATTTTTGGTGGAGACAGAGTCCCACTGTGTTGCCCAAGCTGTTCTCAAACTCCTCGGCTCAAGCGATCTGCCTGCCTGAGCCTCCCAAGGTACAGGGATTACAGGTGTGAACCACTGTACCCAACCCACTTTAGGATTTTGTTAATTTAGAATTATTTAGCCTTCTCATTTCATTTTCTCCAGAGTCTCCTAGGTATGAATATAACAGATTCTCCTTTTTGGAAACTGTTAATGGTATTCAAATAAAAAGGAGTTTATGAAAGTCTATGTCAGTTTGTTTCACGGCTTTCTCTCAGAAAGCCATTTTCTTAAATGAATTAATATACAATATTGTGTGAGGAGTAAGCCCTTTCCTGTTTTGTGTATCTGAGGCTAGAAAAAGACACACTCCCAAGAAATCAGGATAAAGGGAAAAATGACTTTGAGATGTACTTTCTTAAAATAACTGAAGTAATGACCGCATGAGCCAGCTAGCTGATGGGTTTGCAAATGGATACGTTTCTATCAGCCTGCTGCTTGATGCCAGAGCCAAATATACATGGAGTGTATTATATCATATCCTGTAGGCAGGAGACTGTCGGGGCTTTGGGGGACTTAGAAAGAGAGGTAAAGTGGCAGGCTTGACACAGGAATTAACAGCATGACTACCATCAGCCGGAACTTTATTAGGTAAATATTACTGATTGGGTTCATGGTTCCCTACTGTATAACAATTTGTATCATTTCTGGTAAAATAATATCTAATATTTATTATAATACGATTTATACGAACGCCTGCTATTTACCGAAATCTTTAATATTATAATGTTGGTATACTCCTTCTCTCATTAATACTTAAGTATTCCCATTTCTGTTTCTTTCTTGTTTTACTTTATAACTACAAATCCACATCCCTAAGTGTGACTCATTGCTAAAAGTGGCCTCTTTTTGGTTTCCAGCTGCAGGGGCAGTATAGATGCATCCTTCGTTGCAGGATGCTACTTATCTCTGGGGTGCTGTAGACCACCAGGTGAAAAGGAAAGCAGGAGGTCTGGGAAGGAGGTACAGATCATAACTTGATAAACTGCTTTTTTTTGCCAAAAATCATTATCAGCGATTAAGAATATTCACAACGTAGACTGACCCCCAACACACACACACAGTGTGGTTACTATGCCAGGAAGTAAGAATGGCAGTCATCTTTGTGGCTTAAAGCCTGTTTGGTCTGGATTTCATTTGTAAAATAAATCTGAATAAAGTCAATAATGCATTTAAATTTGCACATGCTTTACTATATCTACATGTCAGACTCATGGACAGTGGCCCAGCTTACTAGAAAATTTCTAGAAGAGTTTTAGGGTTATTTTCCATTTTTTTTTTAAAGTTAAAAGCCTGTTTATTTTCATATATTTTATAATCAACCACCTTATTGAATTCTCTTATTGTTTATAGTAGGTTTTCATTTGATTTTTTGAGATTCTCTAGACATAAGATGACTTCACCTATAAATAATGATTTTATCTGCTCAGCTCTTATTTCTGTCTTATCTAATTGCGTCGATTCCTACTTCCAGAACAGTGTTGAAAACACCCTGAGCTTGGCACCTTACAAGATGCATGGAAACTGTAGAAGGGAAATGAGCTATAGTACCAGTAATATCTTGGGAAGCAGAAATTAAAAATTAAACTTAGGGTCAGATAGTCTTACTCTTACAGGAAAAAGTCTACAAAACGCAGCCAAGGTGCACTTTACCAACATATTTATAATTCTCAACCACCTATGGAGCTATAGGAACCTATGGAAAACAGTGGGTTTTCATCAGTCACATCTCAGAATTCTCTGGGACCTTCCTGGAAACATCTCTGTTGTTTAAGGTTAGAATTTAAGGACTCGTAAACACACCCCAGATGTCTTTCATGAGTACTGATGACCATACTGTTCTCTTCCAGGCTCAGCTTCGGGCATTTATCCCAGAGATGCTCAAGTACTCCACAGGTCGGGGAAAACCAGGCTGGGGGAAAGAAAGCTGCAAGCCTATCTGGTGGCCTGAAGATATCCCCTGGGCAAATGTCCGGAGTGATGTTCGCACAGAAGAGCAAAAGCAGAGGGTGAGAGTTCCTCTGACTTGAGTTGCCTGGTTGCTTTTCTATCCTAAATTAACTGGCTCAATTTTTGTCATTTCTACATCTTGTGCTATAAAGTCTTTGTGTATAGGTTAGCCTGTCCCTCCAAAGATTGATGCTTTTTGATTTATAGCCTTTTCCATTTGTCGTTCCATCACTATGCTATAAAGAGAAGACTGGGATGAGTCCATGAATTTACACTGTCTTCAGGGTTGCCTTTGGAGCAGTTTTGCTGTTGTTTTTGTTGTTTTTTGAGACGGAGTCTTGCTGTGTCACCCAGGCTGGAGGGCAGTGGCGCACTCTTGTCTCACTGCAACCTCCACCTCCTGGGTTTAAGCAATTCTCTTGCCTCAGCCTCCCAAGTAGCTGGGACCACAGGTTCATGCCACCAAGCCCAGCTAATTTTTGTGTTTTTAGTAGAGACAGGGTTTCACCATGTTGGCCAGGATGATCTCGATCTCTTGACCTCACGATCCACCCACCTCGGCCTCCCAAAGTGCTAGGCTTGTAGGCATCAGCCACTGTGCCTGGCCTATGGAGCAGTTTTAATTTTATGAAGTGCTTGGGAAAGTCAAAGAAACTTGAAGTAAAATTATTAATCACTTTGAACACTTAGAAATGCTCTTATTTCTGGGTATTAAAAATCATTGAAAAATGTAAATAAGGAATTAGAGGGATACGAAATCTGCCAGATGAGCCTGCTAATAGCAAAACTTGTAGAAGAAAGATTAAACTACATACCATTCCTTACTTTTTTTCCTATTTATTTTTCATTTAGCTTGGAGGTTTACCGAGAATTAGTGTGCCATTCTTGATTAGAATAATCTTTCTTTGGCCAGGTGCAATGGCTTACGCCTGTAATCCCAATACTTTGGAAGGCCGAGGCAGCTGGATTACCTGAGGTCAGGAATTTGAGACCAGCCTGGCCAACATGACAAAACCCCATGTCTACTAAAAGTAACAAAAATTAGCTGGGCGTGGTGGTGGGCACCTGTAATCCCAGCGACTCGGGAGGCTGAGTCAGGAGAATCGCTTGAACCCAGGAGGTGGAGGTTGCAGTGAGCAGAGGTCATCACACCACTGCATTCTAGCCTGGCCAACAAGAGCGAAACTCCATCTCAAAAAACAAAACAAAGAATAATCTTTCTTTGTAAGAAGTTTTAAGAGTTTTGGCCTCAGGTTGGAATAGAGTGTAAACCAGACTTTGATCAAGAAGAAACCAATGGGAAGCCCTCTTTGATACTTTGTACTCAGCTTCTTTCTTCCAGAACCAGTCTGTGGGAAGTAATCTTAGGAGAGTTTACAAGAGGTTTGGTTGGTTTGATTTGATAAAGGAGTAGCTGCTTATTACATATTGGGACTAAATAACCAAAGTTCTTTGTGGCTTAATGTGCTTTTCCGGTCTTTTGGTGACAGGTTTCATGGACCCAGGCACTACGGACCATAGTTAAAAACTGTTATAAACAGCATGGGCGGGAAGACCTTTTGTATGCCTTTGAAGACCAGCAAACACAAACACAGGCCACAGCCACACACAGTATAGCTCATCTTGTACCATCCCAGACCGTAGTCCAGACCTTTAGTAACCCTGATGGCACTGTCTCGCTTATCCAGGTGAGTAAACCTGAGGACCACGAGACTGGTTTCTGAGGTGGATCAGTGGGCGCCTCACCTCAGACTGGGGAAAGTTTCCTTGGTGCGAACTCTTGCATGAACTTTACATAGCTCCTCAAGATCTTCCTACCTGAAATTGATTTCTGAAGAATAGTTTAAATTCTTTGCATTTGCTAAATACAGAGCTGTGAGTAGCTTTCATGAACATTTCCAAAACAAAGCACTTTTAAAGGGCTTTTTTTTTTTTTTTTTTTTGAGACAGGATCTCTCTCTGTCATCACAGCTCACTGCAGACTCAACCTTCCAGGCTCAAGTGATTCTCCCACCGCAGCCTCCCGATTAGCTGGGACTAAAGATGTATACCACCAGGCCTGGCTGATTTTTTTATTTTTATTTTATTTTATTTTTAATTTATTTTTTAGTAAAGACGAGGCCTTGCTGTGTTGCCCAGGCTGGTCTCAAACTCCTGAGCTCAAGCAATCCTCCCACCTCAGCCTCCTAAAGTGTTAGGATTATAGATGTGAGCCGCTACACCCAGCCTTAAAATGACTTCTGTTTTACAGTTTCAGGGAATTTTAGTTAATGATCAGGGAATATTCCTTCTGAATTACCTCTTCTGAGGTAAAACACAATTCGTTTTTTTTTTTTTTTTTTTAAGACAGAGTCTTGCTCTGTTGCCAGGCTGGAGTGCAGTGGAGTGATCTCAGCTCACTGCATCCTCCACCTCCTGGGTTCAAGCAATTCTCCTGCCTCACCTTTCTCAGTAGCTGGGACTACAGATGCGCACCACCATGCCCAGCTAATTTTTGTATTTTTAGTAGGGACGAGGTTTCACCATGTTGGCCAGGGTGGTCTCAATCTCTTGACCTCGCGATCCACCTGCCTCGGCTTCCCAAAGTGCTAAAATTACAGACATGAGCCACCATGCCCGGCAAAACACAATTTGTCTATTGGGAACCTCTAAAGCTCAGGTTAGGATGAGAGTAAAAGTTGGTTGACCAGCAGTGGACATGGATGTGGTGATGTGATAGCTCTTCTAATATTAACTTATTTGGTTGAAGTAAAATCCTGAAACTCATGATAGTCTATGAGCTATAATTTTAGTAAGCTGTGATTTTAGACTTCACAACATAAGGCGTATTCATTGTTATCTGTGCTGAATTTGGGATTAAATGAGTCTTAGCTTCTGAGTAAAGGAGAGGTGGAAGGATCCATCCACTGACACTTAACCACTTTCCATGTTTTTCTTTAGGTTGGTACAGGGGCAACAGTAGCCACATTGGCTGATGCTTCAGAATTGCCAACCACAGTCACTGTTGCCCAAGTGAATTATTCTGCCGTGGCTGATGGAGAGGTAAGAAGAGGATGCTATCTGCATCTTCTTAAATACTTGAATGTATAGTGAGGGAGAAGCGAGGGTCCAGAAAGTGGAGTAGTCTGAACATCTGCAGCACTCTTTCATTTAAACGTTTTGAAACATCAGACCATGAAAGTTTTGGAAAGTGTCTTATGCTATGTGTATTAATTGCAACAGTCAAGATTCATGGATCATTATGACTCCAACTGTCAGGAACTTAAAATTTTACATTTGAATGTATAGCATTTGGTATGATACACAATACAGAGAGATAATCCCTTTAATATTTTTATGCTGTGAATCCCAAAGAATTTCATCTTTGGTCTTTATGAAACAAAAATGGCACATTAAAACTGGAACTGCCTAAGGGAAACCTTCTTTGAAGGGAAAAATATATTTGCAAGTCAGTAACATGATTTATGCCTTTGAAAAGATTTCTTAGAATCCTTCCTTACCAAAATTGGGGTAATTATGGGATGTTAACCTAAAGACAGCCAACCTTTATTGATCACTTGGTGGGCTAAACTCCATACTCGACCCTATGGAGTACAAGTTCTGTTATCATCTTCACTTTAAAGATGAGAAAACTGAAACATGGCGAGCTTAGGTGATTTGCCCAAAGTCTAAGAGCAGTGTTGAAGCTGAATAACACATTGAGAAAAACATTATCTAGGCTCTGAGCCATTGGTAAAGATTCAACAAGTGAAGGAAGGGGTTTGTTAACATCACCATGAGTGTTTCCCCCTGAAGATACTGGTGTGGTGTCCTGAAGTTTGGAAAACAGCCAACAGATGTCAAAGAGCAGTGTCAGGAATAAAGCTAAGAGTATTATCTCACCCTTGCCATGGAGCATTTCCCCTTAGAACACCACAAAGTCACTTTCGTTTGTGCTCCTCAGGAGAAGGGGAGAACTGGCAAAGGTCACATGGCTGGGAGATGGAGGGCAAGTGCACTGCAGGCTCCTGGGCCAGCCTGCACGTACCAAGCCCCTGTGTAGCGGCAGCTGTGTAGAGTTGATTCGCACAGGATCCTTGCTGTCATGGGACTCCAGTCTAGTGGAGAAGAGAGATGTCTACATGAATGAACTCTAGCCCTGCTGTAAGGGATGCTGCAAAGCGTGTGTGCCTCCTTTGTACCTAAGGAGCCTGGGAAAGTTTAGGACACTGAAACCCTTGGTTATTGGGTGAGGAAAGGTGAAGGTTGACAGGATATTTACTTTCTAAGTATAAACACATCATTAAAGGATATGGATTAGCAAAGCAAAGGATTTGTCAGTCCTGGCACACTAAATGCGATGACACTCCTTAAAGTCTGAAAGAGGTGGAAAGACAAGGAGGGGTACAGTTAGATTTGTTTGTTTTTGGCTTAAAGTTATCAACCATATCTCTCTACTGAATGTTTCCTGGTACTATTTAAAGAAAGTAAGTTTGTATTTCCTTTAAAAAACTTTTTTTGACACATAATATGTATAACGTATTTATGGAGTTGTGTTTCTTTTCAGAGTCTCGCTGTGTTACTAATCTGGAGTGCAGTGGTGCTATCTCGGCTCACTGCAACCTCCGCCTCCTGGGTTCAAGCAATTCTGCCCCAGCCTGTCGAGTAGCTGGACCTATGGGCATGCGCCAGCACGCCCAGCTAATTTTTGTATTTTAGCAGAGACAGGGTTTCACCATGTTGGCCAGGATGGTCTGGATCTCTTGACCTCATGATCCGCCTGCCTCGGGCTCCCCAAAGTGCTGAGATTTCATGCATGGGCCACCAAGCCCAGCCAGAGTTGTGTTTCTTAAACACTTCTCTGGGTCTAGGTCCATGAAATGCGCTTTGCTAAATAAGATACAAAAGTAATCAATGTATTCAGATATTCATAGAAAATATTTTTAAAATCTCAGTTGCATATCTGTGGCTTTTCTGGCATACTAACATCATTGTTAAGCCATCTATTGTGGAGGTTGGTGAATGACATATATAAAGTTTTTATAGCCTTTTGGTAAATACCTGGATTCAGTAAGATGAAAAGAAAATACTCCTCCTATACTTCGAGTGAAATGAAAATGACAGAGAGAAAGCCTAGGTTATATCAGAAAGTGACATGTTTAGATTATATTCTGTTTCCATTTGCTGTCTGATTTATCTTAGACGTTGACATAGTTGTTAGTTTTGAACCATAAGAACTGTAATTACTCAAATATCTCCCTGAAGTGGGCTATATACAGCCACATCAATGCCAGTGAAGACGTTGTATCAAGTGACTCGGTAGAAACATCCTATTTCTTTATACTTAGGTCTGTTCTCCCATAGGACGGAAAGTATTTTATAGCAACAAACAGCACCCATACTTTAGCAGTCGTGTGGTCATTTTGCTATCCTAGCCTTCCCAGTGAGAGTTCTCACCATTACCACACTGTCTTCACCGTCCAGTTACATTTATGGGAAGGGTCATTTGGGGGCCTGCTGAACTGAGAATACTCAATAATCTGAGTAGTTACAGAGCAACAAACTCTCTAGCCTTTAGCAGTTAAAAATTAATTAGTGACACAGAACAAGTTACATAGACGTTTATAATTGAACAAGGAAGGCATTTCAAATTAATTTGAAGTCAACTATGTTGATTTTAAAATATACAAATTTTATTTTGATGGCATATTGAAAGATGCAGATGAGTTTGAGAATCTATTCTGCTGTGTGATAAGACCAGGTATTGTTGCTATTAATTGCATTAGGTGTCAGAAAAGGCTAAATTTGGAATAGAATGGTATCTGATGATGTTGGTATATGTAATTCTGTTAGAAGAAAAGAAAGCCAAAGTTCAAAAACATTAGAGACGTGAATTTTAAACTGATCCATCAATATATGTCAGTTTTGAATCGCATGACTCATTTTAGATGCGTTTTTATGAATGTCAATTTACCTTAAATATGGGCAGGCTGAATAACAAGTAGGAAAAACATAAATAGTATTTTTCCTTCCATCCATCCCTTCAGTGAACACTTTTTGAGCCCTGTGCCAGGTACTGTAGATACCATAGATAAAAGATAGTAAAGACTCCCCTTTCCCTTAAGGAGCACAGAAGTAGAGGAAAGCAAAGCACAATTGCAGTGACATAAGGGTCTGTTAGCAGCAAGCCCAGGGTGCTGCGGAACAGCAGAGGAGAGGCCCTCATCTTGGACTTTAGGGGAGTGGAGTTATCTCAGGAAACACTTCCCAGAGGTAGCCCCTGAGCTTAGACTAGAGTAAAGGGGTAAATCAGCAGAACAAAGGAGAGGGATGGGACTTCTGTGTCAGATGGAGCAGCACGTTCAGTGCATTGACTTGTGAAAGCGTGGAACGGCCAGTTTGAAGGGCCACATGGTAGTGGGCCTGTCTCAAATGCATAGTAGCTAATAGGACATCTTCTGAATATCTTCCCCTCCCAGGGACTGTGGTCCTTTCTTTGGGGCATGGTGACATCCAGGCACAGATAACTATACACCAGCCCCCAACAGATGGGAAGGAAGTGCAACAAGAGCTTGCGCAAACACCGTTTAAGAAAACACTGAGACTCAGGAATAGGAACTTCCTGAGAAACATGGCAGGTGATATCAGCACCTGAGCTGATTTCTGGATCACCTGCCCTGTTTCTGAGTAGAAATCTCTTCCTCTGTTTCTCCTCGTATTTTCTCTTCACGCTTTATTGTCATTCCATGCCATATAATTTAACATTCTTAAATTATACTGTATATGGCAGCATTCTAATGCCATTTTCACTGCAAATATCATTGTAACTAAATGTATCTATATTGACTTGCTGCTTTTGGAGTTTGAGGACTTGAGAGAGCTCAGGTGAGAGCAGCAGCATGGGCCGGGCTACAACAGAGGTGCAGATCAGGAAAGAGGAAGACTGTTCACTGGCAGGAGGCAACAGTGCTGCCCGCCCGGCCTCAGTGGATGTTTTGAGTGGACTCATCAGCACCTAAGAATTGATGATAGTGCAGCCTGCCCCTTACGGTGGCAGCACTGGCAGTGATGTTCATTGGAGCAATGAGATCAAAGCAACCAACCTTGGGAAGCAAGAGCTTCGGTGTTCCTAAGAGGCAGCTGTAGGATATCTCTGCCTCAGGAGTGATGGGCCCTGAAGGCTTGGTGGCACAATTTCACTGCCCATGAGAACTCAGGGCAAGCACTAAGGTAGCTCAAAGGAATATATCTTTCTCTGGGAGGCTTTTGGCAAACATTCTGAAAAGCATTATCATAATCTTTAAGTATGATGACAGAACTAAAGCAGGAGACATTTAAAATATCTACCTCCGAGAGCTTGGGGCACTTTCTTTGGGACACAGTAAAAGGCAGGCACAGGATAACTAGGCAGTAGGCCCCAGCATGTGAAGCAGGTATAGCAAGAGCTGCTGCAAGCACCGCTAAGGTCCTGAGACCCAGGAGTCCAAAAGACATATATCCCTGAGCTGACCACCTACCGTACTTCTGAATAGAAATTGCTTTTGCTGCCCCTGCTGCTTTTCAGTTTTTAGGGTGGATAATTAATCAACCAGTATTTATTGAGTAAAACGGACTGAAGTAACTAGATACAGCTATTTCAGAACTGTCTCTAAATGCAAAGAAGTACGCTAAAATCGGTGGTCCTGTACCCCAGGCCAGAGGGAACATTTAGCAATATCTGGAGACATTTTTTACTGTCCTGAATGGGGAGGGTGCTATTGGCATCTACTGGGTAGAAGCCAGGATGCTGCTAACTATCCTGCAATGCACAAAACAGCCCCACCACCAAGGATACCCGGCCCAAAATGTTAGCATGCCAAGACTGAGAGACTCTGTGCTATGTCTAGCAAACCTGGATTCTCAGGTACTCTATCACCAGAGAGCATGGTTTTTGTTTTTGGGTTTTTTTGCAGTGGACAGGGAGAGAGTCTTCATAATTTCTCTTCTACTAAAAAGAAAGCAATTTTTGCTACACCTTAAAAAATTAGTTTCTGAGGCCGGGCACAGTGGCTCACACCTGTAATCCCAACAGTTTTGGAGGATGAGGCAGGCGGATCACTTGAGGTCAGGAGTTCAAGACCAGACTGGCCAACATGGTGAAACCCTGTCTCTACTAAAAATACAAAAATTAGCCGGGTGTGGTGGCATGCGCCTGTAGTCCCAGCTACTGGGGAAGCTGAGGCAGGAGAATTGCTTGAACCAGGGAGGCGAAGGTTGCAGTGAGCCAAGATCGTGCCACTGCACTCCAGCCTGAGAGATAGAGTGAGACTCTGCTTCTAAAAAAAAATTTGTTTCTGAATTTAGCAGTTTCCATCAAAAATAAAAATGCCAAAATAAGTATGATCTATAATTCTACCTCTAGACATTTATCCTATAAATAGACTCACATGTGATATACAAAGTATAGTAGTATAATAAGGATCTTCATCACAGCACCGTTACTAGCAAAAGACTGGAAACCACCTAAATGTGCATTAAGAGAAGACTTGTTAAATAAATCATGATGTTTCTATATAATGCGATGCTTCCCAGCTCTTTGGGAGGCTGAGGTGGGCAGATCACCTGATGTCGGGAGTTCAAGACCAGCCTGACCAACATGGAGAAACCCCCATCTCTACTAAAAATACAGAATTAGCCGGGCGTGATGATGCATGCCTGTAGTCCCAGCTACTCGGGAGGCTGAGGCAGGAGAATTGCTTGAACCTGGGAGGCGGAGGATATGGTGAGCCAGTATCGTGCCATTGTACTCCAGCCTGGGCAGCAAGAGCAAAACTCCATCTCAAAAAAAAGAAAAGAAAAGAAAAGAAATAATGCAATGCTATGCAGCCATTCTTAAGAATCACGAATGAGTAGAGTAGTTTTATATGTTCCAAAAATGGAATCATTTCAGAGATGTACTGTTTGTGAAAAAAGCAAGATACAAAAGATATGTCGAATCTGCTGCCATTTTTATTTTAAAGAGGAGGGAGTAGAAAGGGGAAATAGGGGGTGTATGTGTGTAAATATACTTCCATATAGAGGGAATAGCTCTGCAAAGGTACACTGGAAAATGGGTGTATTACATGGAATATTGTGTAATGATAAAAATAATAAAAGAAAAACAAGGAAAATAGGCACAGTGGGCAAAGTATATCAGACCTTTGGGCAAAGGGTCTAGAGTACTGGTATCATATTCCCTTTGATACAGTTTGAAATTTTGGTATAGTTTGAATTTTTTTTCCTCCCATGGCCTATTTCTAACTTTTAAACTTCATTTATTTACTTATTATTTATTTATTTAAATTGACGAAAGTTGTATATATTTATCATGTACAACATGTTGTTTTGATATATGTATACACTGTGAAGTAAATTGAGAAGCATATTTAAAAGTTTACAATGGGCCTGGCATGGTGACTCACACCTGTAATCCCAGCACTTTGGGAGGCTGCGGTGGGTGGATCACCCAAGGTCAAAAGTTCAAGACCAGCATGGCCAACATGATGAAACACCATCTGTACTAAAAATACAAAAATTAACCAGGAGTGGTGGCACACACCTATAGTCCCAGCTACTCAGGAGGCTGAGGCAGGAGAATCACTTGACCCAGGAGACGGAGGTTGCAGTGAGCTGAGATTGTGCCGTTACACTCCAACCTGGGCAACAGAGGGAGACTCCGTCCTCCCAAAAAAAAAGGGTACAGTAGAAGTTCTTGCTTTCTGTCTCCCATCCAGCTTGTTTCCAGCTGCTCTCAACCCCACACATACAATGCAGAGAACATATTCAGTGGCTTCTTTTGTGTGTCCTTCCAGAATTTCTTTATGCAAATGCAAGCAAATTCAGGTATATATTCTAATACCCCCTTTTTTATGCAAAAGGTAGCATGCTTAAAACTCTGTTCTGTACATTGCAGGTCATGTTAACTTTAAAGAGTATGTGTATTTAGCCAAAAAGTAGCAATTATTAGAAAAATTACTTTTAAAATTGTACTTTTGTGGTTTAGTTTTTTTATAATCTTGTCCTTTCTGCCTCAGGTGGAACAAAATTGGGCCACGTTACAGGGAGGTGAGATGACCATCCAGACGACGCAAGCATCAGAGGCCACCCAGGCAGTGGCATCGTTGGCAGAGGCCGCAGTGGCAGCTTCTCAGGAGATGCAGCAGGGAGCTACGGTCACCATGGCGCTTAACAGGTGGTGGCAAGAGTCCGGGAATAAATGAGGATCGTAAATCTGTCCCTGCAGATATGGGTGGAGGCCTCTTAAAGAGAAATGTATCTCAATTTGCCACAATTGGCAGTTGGAACTTAACTCTCTCAGCCCATAAGATATTGTAGTTTGGCCTATAATAGGTCAGTCCCTACCAAGAAAAATTAAACTTCTTTCCTTCAGGTGTGCTTAGGAAAGGTGATGTGAAATGGAATCCTCCAGTAAAAGGTAGTTTCCAAAACTCAATTGTATTGTTTCCTGCTTAGTTCCTTCTACTGGCTGTGGATGGAAAGATCATCTCCGTATCACTCTTGACACCACCCAGCCCCAACAACCAGTGCAGCCTTTCTGACCTCCAGCCCAGGCCTGCTGGTCAACCCTTCCCCTTTATCCTATTCTGTGTCCATTAACCAGAAGCAACAAGGCTTGAGTGCTTTGTGTTTTCAAGGGATACAGAACAAATTAAGACGCTTCAGATTAATTGTCCTTTTACCCTACAAAAGAAATTGTATTTTTGAGGGGGTATTCATCCATGTTGAAGCATCAAGCAGCTGATTTTACTTGCTTTTGAGAAAATGTGTTGCCCTTGCTTATCAGTGAGCTCAAGATAAGTCAGTTTTGGGTTATTGGGGAAAATGATGAACTTTTCTCTTGAGGTATGTTAGGAAGGATGCTGCCGAATGGGTTGCTCCAAGAGGTGGTTTCTAAAACTTGATTGTACTGTTCCCTGCCTGATTCCTTCTACTGGTGTTGACAGGAAAGATCAGCTTCATATCATTCTCCCTCTTCTTCATTCCTGATGCAGTTGTATTTTTAATGAACTCAGGCAATTTTAATTAATGGTCAAAAGTGTGAGAACTGACACCAGACTACTTGGGTTTGAAGCCCAGCTCTGTCACTTACAAGCTGTTTGGCATTGAGCAGTTCATTTGAACTCTCAGTAGCCAGGATCTCCTGTTCTGTGAAATGGGGGTGATCACAGTGCATGCCTTCTAGTGGTGTTATGAGAATTGAGCTGCTCCATGTGAAATCCTTAGGTCAGTGCCTTGCATGCAGTAAGGCTGCTCTTCTCATGCATAGCAGCTGTTAATGCCTGATAGTCACTGAGCTTTGGTGGCATGCCAGCACGCTACTGGGTAAGGTTGTAAATAGAGAAAAGGGTGCTCTAGCATATACTCTACCCTCAAAGAAATCATACTCTTACTGGGGAGACTGCCTTAAGTAAAACACTTAGCAAACAGTGTGACTTAGAGAGTGTAACTCACTATTGAATTGTATGGTAAAGACTATGAACATAGTAGAAATTCAGAGGAGGGGGATCACCTCCCCTAAATATAAACTCAGTGAAAGGTTTAGATTGATCATGATAGATGCTAGAGAGCTGTGATGGATTTGTGTACAGTTCACGGTATGAGGCTGTATAGTGCAGGGTTCCAGAGTCATACAGATTCAGGTTTGAATCCTGGCTCCACCACTCAGTAACGATTTGACCCTGCGAAACACAACCTCTGAGCCTTGTTTTCCCTGTTGTTATAATGAGGATAATACTCATCATACAGAATCATGTATATGAGATGATACAGATAAAATTCTCATTGCAGGGTCCAACCCATAGTTAGCACTTCAAGAATTATAGTTATTATCATTTAAGTTGTATTTTAAGAGTTGTCTCTTCTGAATTGATTATAGTGAGAGGAGATTAGATCAGTTAGGAAGAGGCACTCCAGGTATGCCTTGTTAAGAAATTAAAGTAGTAAGAATGGAGGTAAAGTGATTCATTTTAAAGGAAGTATGGCCAGGGCTTGGTAGTCGATTAGGAATAAGAAACTGAAACACACACACACACACATACACATAAACTCTCTCTCTCTCTCTCTCTCTCTCTCTCTCTCTCTCTCTCTCTCTCTCTCTCTCTTTCCCTCCCTCCCTCTCTCCCCCCTCCCTCCTCTCTCTCTCTGTCTCTCTCTCTCTCTCATCTTCTCAGAGTTACCCAGCTAGTTCCTAATGATCAGAACGTTTTTTCAGCCCATTGAGCCACGTTGGTCTTCATTTCTTTTTTTCCCCTACTCACGTATATACCCACCATGTTGCTTTTCAGTAACATGAAAGTCTTATTTGGTTCCTTACACTTGGCTCAATTCTACCCCTCCCTTCGAGAGAGACACTCAGATAAACTTCCTGAAAGGCATAGCCAAAGTGAGACCATCCCTCACTTTAGTTCAGAGCCCCCCACCCCACTGTAGCTTGAGGCCTAACAGGCGCTCATTAAAGACCAGCAAAACTTGATTTCATTGAGACTTGCAGCCCACACCTTGGGTATTCCAGTGAAGTGTCTATGCCCTGGGAACTCTCTACATGGTGGAAAATATGAGGCACTTTGGGCTCCCTTTGTTGTAAAGACCAGGGCTTATTTCTAAAGGCAAGAGGGTAATGGTATCCCCTGAGGGCTTGTTAACAAACTCAGATGCAGCTGAGGTGGCTACAGTGTTTACTCCAAAGGAAGGAGAATGTGTTCACTGTGGCATAGAGGAGGAATAAAGAGATGTTGAAATCTCATTGCAATCAGGTAGTTCGATGCCCCAGTGAGTGTTAGGGGTTGGTGTATTGCAGCTTCTGCTGGGGATGAAGAAACCAAGCTTGGCAGCAGAGACTAGACTATAGCAGACTCTTAGGGGAACATCAGGGCTTTCTGAACCCAAGAGAGGTAACCCACCGTCTAATATCTTAGTCAGGAGGGTTGGATGTAAGACACAAGTCCTTGACATTTGCTTCCTTGTGGACGAGATGCACTAGAATCATTTCGTCCCTACACTCTGAGCCTCTTCACAGAATTAATGCTGGAAGTCATCTCAGTGAGAAATACACAGAGAAATCTGGTCTTTGTTCCTGTGATGACAAAGCAGTTTCATAATCTGCCCTCTTGCAGCTTGTCTCTGTTTCGGGTGGAGATAAAACAAGCATGGTTCTCTAATAACCACCTGCACCTCTGCTGCAATGTAAACAGCAGATGTGGGCTCAGGGGAAGAAGGGAGAGGAAGCTACGTGCAATGGCAGGCTGGGGAGTAAGGAGACAGAGGGGCTCCTTCATCTTGTACAGGGTAAAATGCAGTCAGGACAGTTGCAGGACAGACTTGTTTCTCAATCATGCCATTAAGAGAGTTTCATACTGCAAGTCACAACAAGGGCCCAGGGCTCCATAGCCTTTAGCCCACCCTGGCATTCTAACAACCCCAAATGGGTATGGGGAAATTATCCTTTAAAAACCTAAAAACTATGTTAATTTTCAATTTCAAAATAAAGAATAAATCAGAACTTTTGGAAAGGAAATGAGAAGGGAATCAAAGTGAACAAATGAGCAGAACATCACAGCTTTAAAAAAAATGTGTGTGTGTATATACATCCATACATATAGATACATATGGCTTATATGTATAAGCTATTTAGCCTGAACAACCTAAGAGGAAAGGAAGTGATGTCATCATTTGCTTGTGAGACAGTGATTAATTTGAATTTTCAATTCTTTGGTTAAGCTGTCCTGGACTTGTAGTTCCTCTTAAACATGTCCTTCTACAAAACCATTTCCTCAATCTGGCCAGGATAGTTCTTGCATGTAGAGATCATGATATGGCTTTGTAGACTTACTCTACATTTCTAAAGTAGTGGAAACGTAATTGATAGTATATTGTCAATACTGAGACAGTATTTACTGTGTGTCTGCTGTGTGCAGTGCTGTGACTCAGTGCTATGGGGAAATACTTAGATAAATTCCTCTTCTCAGGGAATTTTAGAATGTCCTTTTTTTTGTTGTGAAGATTTTGCTTTTAAAAAGTGAGTCATATTTTGAAAGAAAAATTGCTCTTAATCTTTAAGATGAAAATATTATTAACTTAAAATTAGACATATTATTAAAATAAAATGAGGCTTTATATACGCACTGGTATTTGTCCAATAACATGGGATGGAAAACTTAGATCAGAATTCTTGTCTGGAATAGAGGTCAGGGATGGTACAACTGCTTTTCTTTCCTACAGGTAAAGATTAGACACAGATAAAAGGTTGATGGAAACCTCTTATTTGTAGCTCTGGTTTTGAAATGACTTTTGTCTAAAAATTGTAAAGTGGGTCTAGCTCAGGGACTTTTTAATCCCATTCACCTTTTTAAATGAATGTAATCTTTTTCTAGCAGTTTAGTTTGATCATTCCCCATAAAGTTGAGTGTAAAAGGTTAGAATCACTCTGGAAATGATAGCTCCACTTGCCATAGGCATCATCATTTTCTTTATGCCCTATGTAAAGACCCTAACTAGGGGCAGAATAACTAATCATACTGACCTGTCAACCTGTCACCACCATTGCATTGGACCCCTCAGATGGCATTCCAGATTGTTTCAGGGTGTTGCTGATTTTCAGCCTTTCTTCTACCATACCATATTATAGAAAGAAGTTAAAGAAAGCAACTTCAAGTTTTTAGGGCTTCAAGTAGAATAAAATGAGTGTGATGAGGTACAGATACACTTTCATGTCCAAGCTTGAGGAGCTACCCTCACCCTTCGTTGCCCATGAAACTAATCCTGCAAGAGTGTGTTCAGGAGGTACAGGAGGGGCAGGATGTCACCTTTGATGGCTATAAAGATGAGATTATTGTAAATTAAGAGAAGAATTGTAGGGAATAAGCAGTCATTGAGGTGACCTTATAGGATCATATTTCCATATAAACTGTTCTCAGTTAGTTTTCTTCTTTGGACTATCACACAGCTTTTCCCAAAGAACATACTTTTCTACTTTCCATAAAGCCTCAGGTCACAGTGTAAATATTTTTATCATTAATCATTGACAGGTGGATGCTGTAAAATTGGCTGGTCATATATTTACTTATTTATTCTCTTTTTTTCTCCGATATAGGTAATTAATGAAATTTCCCAATTTATTAATGTAAATTTCTTTTTTTTTTTATTTTATTTATTTTATTTTTTTGGAGGCAGAGT